ACGTCAACAATCGAACAAACAAAGAGAACAAATACAATACAAGCGCAATGATTGAAGCACAAAATACAGATATCCCAAATATAATAGAAACAGAAATAGTATACATACATGTAGAAAAGAAAGAAACCAATGAAACTCAAAGAGAAAAAGGAGTTAGACAGTAGTGTGTGAAAATGGAGAAAAAGAAAGAAAAATCTACCTAAACTGAAGACAAGTGGGTGCATCATATATATATATATATATATATATATATTTATTTATTTATTTTCTTTTTGTTTGCAGACGGCCTCGTCTTAGCTCCAAAGATAGAAAAAATTAAAAATAAAAAAATTGTTACTGTCTCAAAATGAAAGAGCAGACGACGTCGTTTTTGCTCCAGAAACAAAAAAAAAAAAAAAAATTGCTACAGTGTATAAAAATGGAAGAATCTACTGTTCTTTCTACAGTAACGAGACATTGCCCTTTTTATATAGTAATGAAATATCACAAGTCCATCTATAGTTAGTATACTAGCTTAACAACCAATTCACGACTTCCAAGATACTTGAATGGGCCCAAACTCCCCCAATCATCCTAGTTCAACTGTGTATTTGCTATCCGAAACACTACATATACCTGATTCTACATTTTACCAATTCATTACATACTTAAAGCATTTTCCATACACTTTTCTCTTCAAGTTTGTCGATAACTTAAGCATTGGAGAGGCTATGATGTCACGCCTCTTTGTTTCAGGTGCCCAAGAGCACTATTTGTAATAATCTCGAGTCCATATCCCAAGCTCGACATCAACCCAACCTAATTTCATCTAAGTACTATTTTTGATGAGTTAATTGTTACAATGGTCCATGTCCTTGATTGGTCCCTGACGTTTAAAATATCGAGTTTTGGTCACTGAACGTAGATTCATGTCTTCGATTATTCACTGAAATTTAAAATGTCGAGTTTTGGTCACTGAACTTTAAAAAATGTTGTATCTTACTCACTGTAAATTCGATATTTTTCAAAATTCAGCATTTATTCTAGTGAGTAACGTAACGTACAACCTTTTCCAAAGTTTAGTGGCCAAACTCGACATTTTGAATTTTGGTGAGCAATCGAAGATATGGATTTAAGTTCAGTGACTAAAACTCGACATTTTTAACTTCAGTGACCAATCAAAGATATGGACCTAACTTTACTGACCATTGAAACAATTAATTCATTTTTGATAGCATCAAATACCATACAATTTCATCTCTACTAAAAAATTAATAGTTCGAATTAATAAAATGTTTTTCATTCATATTATATCTGCAACGAACTCGTTTCTCGCATGCTATTATTTTCTTAATCAAAAGCTCAACATATAAATTTTTACATTATCTAAATAGTTGCGCTTATATTTCGCCATGTGTTACAAAAACGTTATATTACTTAAATTTGAGATCCTCCATGAAAAACTTTTCATGCCACTTAGTTCAGCGGTGCAAAGGACAGAAGTGAGGTTATTTCACGCCTTGCTGGCAGCCGTAATGTGGGGGTTCGATTCCTGATACATGAAATTGGACTCCTTGTAGGCGCAGTGTACATGCAGCTTTGTTCCTTGGCCTGTTGGGGCACATCCCACTATTTACCTCCCTCACAAAACTCTAAGGGCGAGGCGGTGAAGGTCCTCAAGGTTGGGGTTCAACCCTTTTTTTTTTTTTTCCCACTTAGTTCGGTTCATTGTTTTATTTAGTTGGTGCTTATTTGAGAATGCTTAAACCATAATTTATGCTGCAATTATTTAACGAATGCGTGGATAAAAAGTCAGTAATAAGTTGCAAATTCATAAAATGTGTGAATATAAATTGTGTTTGAAATATTTAAATCGATCAATTTTACTAAATCCTTAACAAAGCTTGATTCAAAAATAGTTGTCCAGTACTTTCATTCCTTTTTCTTGCATCCTTCTTTCGTATTCCAATTGAATTAATCGTCACTAGACTCAACATTTGTGGCAGTTTTTTAGGGATGAGATTACGGTAATGAACAATACAAACTTAAAACGTTTGCAGTGGATTACGAGGTCAATAATTTAATCAAACTTCCACTATTTATTATTTAAATATCTTTTAGCGATGGGTCTAGTAATGGAGAATGAGGGACAAATTATTTTCACCGCAAATCTGTCACAAAATCTTTTATTTATTTATTTTCAAATTCTTAATCAGTTGTTGATTTGATTACTAACATCGACACAATAATTCCTTACTCATTATCTATCATTGTTGGGGTCTTTTCCGGCAGTGATATCAAATTAAGATTTTCACTAAAACATGAAAAGTAATTGAGTACAAGCAATATATTTTCCCTCTTGCTTCTTTTTGTTAGGTAATTGATTTTGGGTGGATCCTCACTAATTTGACTAATTGAAGAGTGATGTCAACTACTGAAAAGATATGCACCTCCAACATCTTATGGAGGGCCTAAATTATTTTTGGGGTCGATTGGTTACGTTTGTCGTCTGTCCTATTTTAATTGGGCTATTCAATTTTTTAATAGCCCAATCCACGTGACAAATCTCGTGGTAGCAAAAGGGCCGAGTAGCTCGTCAGCTTGGCTCGTCGAAACTCAACTCATGAACGGCTGAGGCTCGTCCCGAAACGAGCCCGAACCGAGCAGGGTGCTCATTCGGAGTTCACGTGCCCACGAGCCTAAAGTTCACGAGCCTCGTAAAAAAAAATGTCGAAAAAAAAAAGGACTCGAGCTTGTGGGCTCGGCTCAGCTCACAAGCTGAGCGAGCCAAGCTCGCGGATACATGGGCGGCTCGCCTATTGCTGTCCCCAGACAAATCCATATGTTGTGTAAAAAGTCAATAAATAGAATGATTATAAATATAGAAATTAAAGATCTTTGCTACTTTTATCTGCTAGTCAATTTTCACGCAAACTGTATATAAATAATAAATTTAAGATTACATAATTATGTCTAACTATAAGTATGTTTTGTTACCAATAATTGGTAAGTTAGATTGATAAGTTAGTTACGTGTGCCGTCTACTCAACTAAAGTTTCATCATTTTACCATATGAATTGTTCATGATAATAATGAATTCGAGGTAATGATATTCATAATTAGGAAAAATAGCACTACTGATCTTCAAATTCTTCACCAATTGCAACTTAGTCCGCAACTTATAAAATCGAGCTAGTTAATTTTCAACTTACCATCAACGTTGCACCATTAGTCCCAAACTTTTTCATTTTGATTTCAACTATGATTGAAAACATTGAATCAATGATGTATCACTTTACTATTGCCAATAATAAAAAGCATATAGATATATCCCACTCCAAACTGTTCTTCTCTCATTGCACTATAATATGGTGTCATCCACGTATCCAATTTGTCCTTTTCGAGTCCCACCCAAAAACAAAAAAAACAAAAAAAAAATTGAAAAAAAAAAAAAAGAAGAAGAAACTTTCCCACCTTTAAAAGTAAGATGGCATGTTCTCTAGACTAATTTAAATTTGACTTCAAGAAATAATTTCTTTAAAACTTTTTGTCCAAAAGTCTAAATAATTTTACATGTTCATATTTATTCATTTAAATTTGTATACTATATATTTGTTTAATTTTTGTTCTCATTAGATCTTCAAATAACTTCTTAGTTAGTTTTAGGACTAAAATAATGATTGGAACTTGGTATAGCATATATTCATCCTGTTTGTACTTTGACTATTAGTATAACCATCGAAAGAAACACAATCACATATTATTTTGTAAAAAATAATGATTGGAACTTGGTATAGCATATATTCATCCTGTTTGTACTTTGACTATTAGTATAACCATCGAAAGAAACACAATCACATATTATTTTGTGCAATGTAGAGGACCCTAATGGTTAAAAATTTCGATTTGAACTCAGTAGTATATGGAATGCGTGGTTAAGAAGTAAAGAAAAATTATGAATTAAAGTGTAAAGTTATGAATATACAATTAAAAATGAATTTTGGAAGCATGAGTTTTAAAGAATATGTACCAAGTTCATACCTAATGCAGACAATTTGAAAAGTCAAATATTAAAGAATTTGTCATAATAACTGCATTGATTATCACTCAACAGCATGGTCCTACATCGTTTTTATTTCAATGAAATTGGTTACATGAATCCAAATAAAAAACAAATGAGAGGAAATTCTAGAATATAAAAGCTGTCATATTTGATGATCAACAGTTAATAATGACTTCTGTCTAATATATTGTCCAATACAATAATTCTACATATCGAACATACAAAAGAAGAAGAAGAAGATGTGACAGTACTATGCTGTCAATAGTAGTTGATGTTTCTAAGGTTAGCCCTTATTTGTTACATTACCTTACTGCTGCTATTTGCCAAAAAAAAATAAAAAAAAATAGTAATAATAAAATAAAATAAAAATTTACAGGTGGGTTCTAAACCCAATTTCAAGAGCAATAAATGAAATGAAAACAAGTTAAGTTAGGTCCCAATTGGTCCATAGTCAAGGAGATAAGTGTACAGTATCATTAGATTCCACACAAACGACGGGTTATTCTCACGCCAATGCATAATAGATTATTAAATCAAAATAACGTGTTTATGATTGATGGAAAATCAAGAAATGACAATTTTGAATCCTATGAAATGGGGTGTTATGATAACTGGGATTAGTAAGACTCGTAATTTCATCAAAAAACGTTCCCTTTTTTTGTGATGGACCCGGGTGTTTGGTTTTTGATTCCACTGGAGTTAGGAAGTTGATATACAGCTATGTTGTCTTCTTCATATTGAACTGGTTTACTTTTTGTTCTGATTTATTTGCTTATTTGAACCTCTTCAATGTTCCGTAACTTGGCTGTGATCACATGGAGTTGGCTCGATAAGTTGTCGCTAGTGATTTCTATTCTGGTAATACTTTGTTGCAGACATAATTTACATAAAAAAAAGTGTCACTTTGTTACAACTCATCTTTTAAGGAAGATGGTATAATATAGAATTAGAGCAGCTAGATGCCCAATATTCTTTCCATAGCAATAGAAAGATTATTTTTTCCCCCTCTCAGAGTGAACGAGTCTTTCACAATTCTATCAAATTGGCAAAGTTGTAAGACTATGTATGAGGGCTAATAATAGTTCTGTAGTACTAACATAGTTCAGTCGAAAAATGAAATTATGAGGAACCCAAGAATTAAAAGATTCAGTAAAGGAACTTCTAGTAGAGATTGAAGTGTCAAAGACTGCATTTTGCAATGCCAATCCAAATCCATCGTGCATTTACTCTTATCATAGGAAGTAAATTATGGGAGTCTATAGTTATTTGCTACTAAAATGTTTGTCAGCTTTTCCATTTTCCAGACTAAAGGACATGGACGGATTTATTAAATTGTAACAAATGTTTAGCAACCAACGATAAACTTGGAAGAAAATGAAGTTGAGTGATGAACATGAAATTTCAGCTAAAAGTGAGTGACAACCAGTGGTTTTTTAATCCTCCAACATAGACTCAAAATCTGGTTAGCAGTTTTTAACTAAATTTTCGTCTACAACACTGGCAAGTGATTTCCCTGCAGGTAGAATCAATCTGTTTACAGGCCATAGCCTTCATTTTCTCAGCCTTCTCGACTTCTTCTCGAGCTCTCTCACACATGTATCTGGCACGTGCAAACTCAGACTGGGCAATTTCCATCTCTTTCCTTGTAAGCTCCTTCACGCGCTCTGCATAAGCGCTCTCCATTGCTGCTAATCGAGCGTGCTCAGCTGCCTGCCATCTCAGGGCCTCAACACGGTTCGACTCCAACGTTTCATCTTTGTAATCTTTAACTTTTCTTCTTCGAACACGATCTGCAGCTGGCTTGAGTGGACTAACACTTATTGACAATTGAAGGTCAAGTGATGGATCCTCAAAATGATCATCCATTGATCTGAATTTTGTTGAAGAATCCGATGGCCAAAACAAAGCCTGAGATGATGAAGCTGCAGAATATTGAGCGCTGGAAAGTAGCTGCAATTCTTTGCTTTCATCTTCCATTGATGAATGGTGAGCGAGGCTTATGCAGGGGCAAGATTGAGGACTATATGTAAGCATTTCATTCTAAAAGGCTAATTTCAAAAAGGAATATACTACTTGTATATAATGCGGTGTCCATCCCTTCACATGGAGGGATATCCACTTTGGACACCATTTCGTGTAAGAGGGGTGGATATTTTCATGGACACCCTGATTTACATGTAGCATAACCCTTTAAAAAATGCCCACTTTCCCCATGTAAAATGACAAAAAGCAACATTAATGTCATGAGCCCCACGTTGAACTCTTGTATGACCTCTTTATTCAATTGAAGACAAGATTTAAATGAATAAATGCAACCATTCTCTAAAATATCATTTGTTCAGACGAGATAGTTAAGTTAATAAAAGAGTTAGAGAAATGACTTGAGTTCAAATCTTGTGAGAAAAATTTCTGTAGATTTTATTCTGATTTAAATAGTGACGTACAAATGAATCGACCAAAATATCGACTTAAAAAATGTAGGATAAAGAAACACTTAAAATAAATTCAATAGAGGCAAGAGGAGGACTCAATTTTTTTTTAAGACCTTGTCTAGCACGGATGCTTTCAGACTCATGTTCTGTAATATAACACTCTTAATTAATAAAACCGGTGAACTGAGTGACGTTTAAAACTCTTTTTTTTTTTCCATTTTTTTTTTTTTTTTTTTTTTTTTTTTTTTTTTTTTTTTTTTTTTTTTTGCCCTTTTTTTCTTATGAAACTGGAATCTGAATTGCATGAGGAAATGTTTTGACGTAACATGCGCAAGTATGAAAGTGCAAGGATGAATTAAATGAACTTTGCAAATGGTGAGACCTATTTACGGATATTAGAAAGTTGTGTCTAAAGAGAGAAATAAGTGCTAGAAAGTAGAAAGTGCATATCTAAATATACATTTCCAATTTGGATAGTGCTTGTTCCAACAATCCGTTTGATCTATCTTCTAGAAGCTGCTAACATGAGGTGTATAACAACTAAACTACATATGGCATTAACATATATTCGATTTGAAAGCTCATTAAAATTAAATAATAAATAAATATTTAATTTATTTTTATAAATTGATATATGGTATATTTGGGCTTAGCCAATAACACGCGACTCGAGCCCAACCATGATGGTCGACGGCAACAAGTGCTATGTGGGCTTTAACCCGAACTCACTGACATCTAGGTCCTCCCCTTCAAAGATTATTAGTACTCCTTAGATTTAAAACCCAAGTCTCAAACTGGAGTTATGATAAGTGATCAACTTGCTTCATCATTTTCCGCCAATTTTCAATTCCAACTCATTCAACATTTTCTGGGTTCAAGCAAAGTCAATTTTAATTTTAATTTCTCATTCATTCGAATTTTTTTTTTCAAGTAATTAAATATACGATGATCATTTCTCGCGGGTAATAATAATCTTCGCCTAAGAACTTCCATATCTAAGTAACGGATCCTACTTAAATAATTGAAAAAAGTTGATTAAAAACCAACTTATAAAATTGATCTCCAACTAATCTTAACAACAACCATTTTATAAAAAATCGTGCATGCGTTGGGTCTTTAATTTAAAAAAATGAAAAAAAGAATTTAATCAATACATGAGGAGGAGCACGTTGAATACATTTTTGAATGAATACAGCACATTTCTAAAATCTAAAGAATTTACTAAGTTCCACCCATGAATAAAAAGAGTTTAACTAACATTTCCATTAATTAATAAATTGTGTATACTTGTCCTGAATGAAGGTATAGATCATAGTAAAAGTACAATAAAAACGAAGTGCGAGAATATTTTTAATGCAAGGTCATTTTCGGACAGTACAAAGATCAGAAGAATATCGCCTATTCAATGTTGGAAATAATATATATATATATATAATTGAAACGAAAAATAGACAAATTGTGGCTGCTCTATAGAACTTTAATAATTGATTTAACAGACAATATCTGACATAGTGGTGAAGGCCCGAAGGGAGAGTGGGAATAGGGATTACCAATAATCAGTATTGCACGTGAATCGGATGCGTGTTGGTTTGATCCTATGGGTGGAATTTTGTGAAGAGCACTTCCGTTGATGGGCAGTAGACCTAAGGTTGTCGGCACTAATGCATAAAAAGCTATCAACTCCTAAACTGAATAAAGCCCACGCTCGTTAAGTCGTTATCGAAACTAAAAATAAGTCTCTAACTTTCTAAAAGACCAAAGAACAACTTCAACTGGCATTCGTTGGAGCTTTCCCTTACGCAGGACGAACCCAGACCTTTAGTTCTATGGGTCAAAAATTAAAATATAATTTAAAAAAAAAAAAAAAAAAAAATTTAATGAAAATAAGTTAATACGTATTTTGATACTTTAAAAACGTCATCTAATTATATCATTATTAAATAAATTTTGCTACTTGTATAGTTTTGTTTACCAGTTTATTGATAAATGCCGAGCCAACAGTGAGTAAATCGAACTGTAACAAAATCCAAGTTTAATCTAAGAAGTAAATGAAATTCAAATTTAAAGCAAATGTAATTCAAAAGTATTTCAAATTACATTTAATCCGTAATAATCCTAAAATTTTTGACACCATATTCCATATAAATTTTTTTAATAAAATTATATAAATTATATTGAAAATTTTATCGTACAAAAAAAAATGCTAATAAAATAATTGAATTTTTTTTAAAAAGAAAAGACAATGTTTTTTTAGACGTAAGTTTGACGCATATTTCACTATTTTCGATATCCATTTGAACCATTAATATGACAATGATGTAGTTTTCGAAATGAGCTTCTACATGACATAGACGATTTGTAGATTCTGATACCATACGATCACCGATGAATTTTGAAAATTAGCATATTATCGAAATTCTAGTTTCAAATGGCCTACTTTGACATGTCGTAACTTTTGCTATAATTGACTATTTCAAATGCCTTTAGTAAACAACAAACTAGGCCATAAATACTTTGAAATGGTATTAAGAATACAATATTCTGGCTTCATTTGGCATTCCGTAATGAGTGCATCAAAGTAAATCGTAAACAGATCAAAACAACTACATTTAAAAAAAACAAACAAACAAAAGCAAAAAATTTGTGGGGTCATTTGACCCCATGTGGGTCCATCCATGCCCTTACGAGAAAGTCCCTTTCAAAAATAAGCATATGCCGCTTAATTGCAACGAGCACACGGTATTTCTTTTGTAAAAGTCGAAAGAATAGTTTGCAGTGCGTGCTTACTGAGCCTCACACTATAGAGCAGTTGCTTGTTTCAGTCAGTTAAAAACTGCCGATGTGGGATGCTCCGGAGCAGGATTTCTTCAGTAATAACCCTGCATTTTTTATCTCCTTCTGTATAACATTGATTCATCTTTATGCAAAGTACATATTTTTGGTTTGAATCCAGTAAACTGTTTCACATTAAAGCGAAAAATCGATAATGTGGAATCGAGTAAGATTGGGTGAATTAACCCAAAGAATTTGTACATAAAGCGCAAGGTCCAATTAAAAATAAAGAACTATGGAAAGACAAAAATGCAAAGGGAAAATTATAGTTAGAAATAGAGAAAAAAAAAATATAGAAAGCCCCAAAAAATAGAAAATATAAATAAAAATGGTATGGGATGGGTATGAGAAGATGTTGAATTGAAATTTGTTTCCTATATTATTTATTTAAATTAAAATTAAGGGAAAGAGTGTTGAAGATGGTTTCATCCCTGAAATATGTTGACATGTGAGACGCCTGTGTGTATTTAACGTCTTGAAATTTTAACTATCTTGAAGACAAAAAATAAAAATTAAATGCCTGAATTTGAAGGTCAACACGTGTTAACTTTCGAATAAGGATGAGATTTAGCGCGTCAATAGATCTCCACTTTTCTTCCCTCTATGAGGATGTTATCTACACAATTGGGTCATATACACTAGAGGCACATACTGGGACTTCTCCAACCAAAGGCAAGGAAGTTGAGAACGTACGAACTTCAAAAGTTAATAAATGGACAGATAATTTGGTGTGAGGAACATGACTGGAGAAAAATGTCGTAGTAGAGTTTATATTTTTATGGAGAGAAATATGAATCTGCAATTACTTCCAGATATCATCGAATATGAGCATATATATATGTGACGAATGAATCTAAAGTCTCCAGATATTTGACACGTGATATTATCCCAATGGCTCACAAGTCAAGTGTCAAAACATCACATCTAGCCATCATAAACATGTGACCTCTCACACATTGTCTAGGTAAGAAAAACAAAGGATTTGACTTCCAACCTCCTTTTGTAGAGACGTCACATCAATCAAATTGTATATGACTCAAAGTATCATATTACAACTAGCACAAGGCATCGGGCTTCAACCCTAACCGCCTCAGACTTCATAGACTCATCCAATGTGACTAGGTTAAGCCTTGCTAATTGCCTGAGATAGGAGAAGTTACAAGTATGCATGGAGTTATGTTGCCTTAGAGGTGGTTGTCAATCAGGAGTTCGATTGTACTCTGAACACCTTGAAATTGAAGATGGTTGAGCGATGGTAGATGGACTTATCGCCTCGGACATGGAGGTGGAAGAGATGACACTTCTTGTTGCTACTCACCTGGAAGAAGAGGTCTTTACGTGGTATTTCACTTAATTGACATTTACTTGGTCTGAAATGGAGGTAGAGGCATAACATACATGTGTTCAATGTTAAGTTCTAAATATGCAATTACTTCGTTCGTTTTTATTTATGTTTTCATCTTTGTCAATGTTACTATCTTAAAGAAACTGAGTCACAAGTATATTACATGATTTTCTGATGGTCAGCTAGATGATTTCCATCAACTCAAAACCTGGATACTCTACTTTGCAAGTATGAAACATTTACCCATAACTAAGCCTCTGTTTGACATAATTTACAAATGGTCAAATTTCATTTATAATCCTTCATGTACTATCCACATTTCTATTTATTTATAAATTAAATTATTTATAATTTGTATCAAATTGAGGATAATACGAAAAATCCAAGCTATAAAAACTAATTGGTATTGATTCAGCCTCTTCAGCTTATGTAGCCATCATTTGCAATTAGATAAGGATGTGTGGATCAGAGCATGGTGCCTAGCGAATTTAGGATCAAAA